CACACACACACACACACACACACACACACACACACACAGCCTATGTCTGGAGCACCTCTTCATCGTCATTTCTCTACATGCACACGCACAGTTACATACTGCGTGTATAAATAAAAGGCCTGGGGCAGATAGCTGAATCCCTGGAGATCGTGAAGCTAAAAGTCACCCCTTTGGGGCTGCCTGTGTTTATGTCACACACCACAGTCGGAACCTAGGCATTCCGTGTCCAGATTTGAGGAAGCACGCCCAGTCCCTTGTACAGATGAGAACACACCCGCTTCCTCATCTGTACAGGGAGGAAAGCAGCTGCCTTGGATCCGCACTGCCGAGGAATCCCTTGTAGGGAGTCCCAGATGAGCACTTTCCAGCAGCTGAGGTCAACCGTGAAGGGGCTGACAGCTGGAGGCTGACTGCTCCTTACATTCCCTGCTGCTAGGTAGCAGGTCCTTCCTTGAAGGGGCACCTGCCTGGCACAATTCTGTCTACCCCAGGTGGTGTGTGTGCCTTTTCCGCGTTTGCGTGGCAGCCGTGAAGGCAGGAGGCAGACTTTTAGGCTTGGCTCTTTCCCTGACTTGACCGTGAAACCTTTAAGGCGTTTCCCTCGGCGGGTCTCAGTTTTCCCACCTGTTGGGTTGGATCAGATGGTCTCCATAGTTCTGTGACTGCTCTGGGTTTCCCAGGAAGCCTGATGCTGGGGGAAGGGTGGGTAAAGCTCTGTGATCTCACCAGATTTCTGTGCGTTTGATGGTCTACCTGTCAGATTCGGGAGCTCTACAAGCAGCGGCTGGATGAAATTGAAATGTTGGAGAGACATATCATTCAGGGCCGTGCACGAGCTCTTGCAGAGAAAGAACGGATCATGCAACAGGCCGATGTGCATGCCCAGGAGACCTTCATCAAGATCCCTCCAGGTGTGTGTAAAGAACTCCCATATGCCCCTCACCGGATTCCCCTGTTGTTAATACATGACCGTGTTTGCTCCACTGTCTGCTCTCTAGCTTTCTTCTGAATGTTTGGAGAGCAAATGGCAGATGTGATGTTTCAGTACCACAGAACGCTCTAGCATGCACGTCTCCCAAACAGAGACTGTCCCCTACACCACCAGCATACCACCCTCCAAGCCTAGAAATCAGCATTTGTGCAACATTAACCTCCAATTCACAGATCCCATCCAGGTTTCACCAGCTGACCCACGGTGGCTTTTTCTCTTCTCTGGTCCAGGACTCTGCCTAGGAAGTCTTGTTGCATGGGATTGTCCAGACCCCCTTTTAGAGTCTGTGGTTCAGAAGAATTCTTTGATCTTTTCTTGTCTTTCATGTTCTTTAAAATTTGTTTTTAGTTGTGGGGTGCCTGGGTGGCTCAGTCAGTTAAGCGTTCAACTTCGGCTTAGGTCATGATCTCACAGTTCATGGGTTCGAGCCCTGCGTCCTGCTCTGTGCTGACAGCTCAGAGCCTGGAGCCTGATTCAAGGTCTGTGTCTCCCTCTCTCTCTGCCCCTCCCTCTCTCTCTCTCTCTCTCTCTCTCTCTCTCTCAGAAATAAATGACCATTAAAAAATTTTTTTAGCCAAGTTCAGTTGACACACAATGTTACATCAGTTTCACACGTACGACTTAGTAACTGGACATGTCTACATTGTGCTCAGCAGAAGTGTAGCTATCATCCGTCCCCATACGTCGCTATTACGGCATCATTGACTGCATTCCTTATGTTGTGCCTTTTATTCCTGTGACTTTATCATTCCATAATTGTCTTTCATGTTCTTGACAGCTGTTCCCCCCCCAATTTTTTTATTGTAGTAAAATACACCTAAAATTTGCCATCTTACCTATTTCTAAGGGTACAGTTCAGAGATAGTAAGCACATACATAATGTTGTACGACCATTACCACCCTGCATCTCCAGAATTCCTTTTTTTAATGTTTATTTATTTTGAGAGAGAGAGAGCGAGCAAGCAGGGGAGGGGCAGAGAGTAAGGGAGAGTGAGAATCCCAAGCAGGCTCCATGCTGTCAGTGCAGAGCCAACTTGGGGCTTGATCACAAACTGTGAGATCATGACCTGAGCCTAAGAGTTGGACACTTAACCACCTGAGCCACCCATATGCCCCCAGAGCTCTTTTAATAGTTTTTTTTTAAGTGTATTTATTTATTTTGAGAGAGAGAGAAAGCATGAGTGGGGGAGGGGTGGGGCAGAAAGAGAGAGAGAGAATCCCAAGCAGGCTTCGTGCTCTCAGTGCAGAGCCCAACTTGGGGCTCTAACTCATGAACCATGAGCTCATAACCTGAGTCAAAAATCAAGAGTCGGATGCTTAACCATCTGAGCCACTCTGGTGCCCCTTTGTTTATATATGTAGTTTTTTTTTTTTTTTTAAGTTTGAACTCTTTTCATTTTTCAAAACTAAAAATCTCATTTAGTTTCCCATTAGACAATAGTTTCCCATTCCCCTTACCCCAGCCCCTGGCAATCACCATTCTACTTTCTGCCTTTATAGTTTAGACTACTCTAAGTACCTCATATAAGTAAAATCATATGGTATTTGTCTTTTTTGTGACTGGCTTATTTCGCTTAACACAGTGTCCTCAAGCTTCACCCGTGTCGTAGCATATGTCGGAATTTCCTTCCCTTTTAAGACTGAATAGTATTCTATTGTATGTATAGACCACATTTTTGCTAATCCATTCGTCCGTTGATGGAGACTTGGGTTGCCTCCACGTTTTGGCTGTCATGAATAAAGCTGCTATGAACAAGGGCGTACAGATAGCTCTTTGAGACCCTGCTTTTGATTCTGTTGGGGGTATATACCCAAAAGTGGAATTTCTGGGTCATATGTTAATCCTACTTTTAATTTTTTAAAGGAACCGCCATACTGTTTCCCACAGCGGTTATATCATTTTTACATCCCCCCCAACAGTGCACCCAGATTCCCATTTCTCTACATTCTCACCAACACGTGTTATTTTCTGTTTTTTTTTTTTTTTTTTTTTTTTTTTTTTTTGATAGTAGCCGTTCTAATGAGTGTGAGGTGGTATCTTATGGTAGTTTTGATCTGCATCTCCCTGCAAATTAGTGATGTTGAGCCTCTTTTCATGTACTGACTGGCCATTTATATATCTTCTTTGGAGAAATGCCCATGGAAGCCATTTTTTTTTGAAGCCATTTTTAAAATCATTTTTATTAAAAATTTTTTTTCAAATGTTAATTTGTGTGTGTGTGAGAGAGAGAGAGAGAGAGGAGAACGAGTGGGGGAGGGGCAGAGCGAGTTGGGGACAGAGGATTCAAAGTGGGTCCTGTGCTGACAGCAGAGAGTCTGATGCGGAGCTCAGACTCAGGAATTGGGACTTTGAGATCATGACCTGAGCTGGAGTCGGACGCTCAACTCCCTGAGCCACCCAGGTGCCCCCGTCATTTTTTAAATTGTTGCCTGTGCCTTTGGTGTCATATCTAAGAAACCATCGTCCAATCCAGTGCTGTGAAGTGTTTGCCCTATATTCTAAGAGTCTTACTGTTTTAGGTCTTACATTTAGGCCTTTGATTAAAATTCTAATTGAAGTCCAATTAACATACAGTGTTCTATTAGCTTCAGGTGTACGGTATGACGATTCGGCAATTCTGTACGTTACTCCATGCTCGTCACAATAAGCATACTTGTTTTTGTTTTTAAGTGAGTCGGCTTTATTTGCTCTAAATAAAATTTTGTGCTTCTTGGAACTAGCTTCTATAAACTATCAAGGGATCTTAATGTACAAGATATTCCAAAATAGCCAAAACTTATATTTCGTGCGGGGGTTGGGGGAAGCTCAGGAAGGAACTCTTGCTTCCGTGCTAGAGCTAACTCCCCTGACTTAAGTAAGCCTCCTCCCCGTTTCATAGATGAAACTGAGGTTCTATAGGGGCGCCTGGGTGGCTCAGTGGGTTAAGCGTCCAACTTTCGCTCAGGTCACGATCTCCCAGTGCGTGAGTTCGAGCCCCGTGTAGGGCTCCGTGCTGACAACTCAGAGCCTGGAGCCTGCTTCGGATTCTTTGTCTCCCCCTCTCTTTGCCCCTTCCCCGCTCACGCTCTGTCTCTATCTCAAAACTAAATAAACATTTTAAAAAATTTTTAAAAAAGAGAAAGAAACTAAGTTTTGTAAGTTTAGCTATCTTGTTCAAGGTCACCCAGCCAGTAAGTGGTGGAGGCCTTTTAGTCAAAATAGAATTTATACTCTCGGAGTGGCTGATACTCCAGCCAAAAAAAGGAAGATAGACGTTTGAGTTTTTGGAGGTAGGGAAGGGTAAACTGCATTTAGAGCAGCTTCTGTGTTCACATTCAGTAGTCCTAACCTTGGGGCGTGCCATTCTCCTAGCGGGTATGCAGAAAAGTTTGGAAGCATCTTTGATGTTCCAGTGAAGGGGGTGGGTTGTGTTTCTGTCTTTCAGTACTTGGCAGGTCAGGGATGCTAAGACATCCTGCAGTGTTGAGACCGTTTCACACAACAAAATACCTATCCCAAGATGCAGATAGTTTCCTGTTGGGTAACATTATAGGTGCCTCATTAAGTTCTTGAGCTAGAAGCGGTGAAATTATGTTAACTCCCTCTGGCATGAAGTCAGACCAAGAGATGCAGTGACACTTACTGTCACTTATAAGTGTACTCTTAACCCCCTTTATTACACCCATCCCCCCACCCCCCATTTGGCAACCACGAGTTCTTCATATTTAAGAGTTTTTAATTTGTCTCTTATTTTCTTCATTCATGTGTCTCGTTTCTGAAATTCTACATATGAGGGAAATCATATGCTTATCGTAGCATTGTTTACGATAGCCAAGATATGGAAGCACCCAAGTGTCCATCAATAGATGAATGGATAAAGAAGATACGGTACATACACACAATGGAATATTACTCAGCCATAAAAAAGTATGGATCTTGCCATTTGCAACAAGATGGGTAGACCTAGAGGGTATAATGCTAAGTCGAAGAAGTCAGAAAGAGAAAGACAAAGGTCTTTAACTTTCTTTTTAAGTTTATTGATTTATTTTGAGAGAGGGAGAGAGAGTTCGCACCTGAGTGGGCAAGAGTCAGCATGCACACATGAGTCAGGGGAAGGAGCAGAGAGAGGGGAGAAACAGAAAATCCCAAGCAAGTGGGGCTCGAACCCACAGACTGTGAGGCCATGACCCGAGCCAAAACCAAGAGTCAGACGCTCAACTGACTGAGCCACCCAGGTGCCCCTGATTAACTTTGATAGGATGTTTTATATGGTGTTAGATAAGAGTCCAACTTCATTCTTTTGCATAAGGATATCCACTTTCCCTAGCATCATTTGTTGAAAAGATTGTTCTTTCCTCATTGAATGGTATTGGCATCCTTGTCAAAAATCATTTGACCATAGATATGAGGGTTTATTTCTGGGCTTTTTATTCTATTCCATTTGTTTCTATGTCTATCTTTATGTCGGTGCCATATTATTTTGATTACTATAGCTTTGCAGTAAGTTTTTAAATCAGGAAGTGTGAATCTTCCAGTTCTGTTCATTCTTTTTCAGGGTTGTTTTGGCTATTGGGGGTTCCTTGAGGTTCCATATGAATTTTGGGATGGGTTTTTCTATTTCTGCAAAACACATCCTTGGTATTTTGGTAGGGATTGCACTGAATCTGTAGATTACTTTGGGTGGTATTGACATTTTAGTATTAAGTCTTCTAATCCATTAAAAAGGAATGTGTTTCCTTCTATTTACGTCATCTTTAATTTCTTTCAGCAGTGTTTTGTACTTTTTATTGTACAAGTCTTTCACCTTTTCAATTAACTTTTAGGTATTCTTTCTGATGCTATCTTTTTTTTAAATTTTTTTTTTTAACGTTGTATTTATTTTTGAGACAGGAAGAGACAGAGCATGAACAGGGGAGGGTCAGAGAGAGGGAGACACAGAA